TTTACTTTACACAGTATGTTGTCCATTTCCCCTTGTTTTTCCGTTAAAATAATGTACCGCTTATATAATATAACTGCCAATTACATTTATACAACGGCGTGTAGACAATTGTGCACGGTTTGATTGTACACAGTAACATAGCGTATAAATCTGGCAAGCAACTTGGGTACAGTTGTTTGATTTAGATTTTATCTAATAGTTGAATAAAAAAACTTTATCAATTTTGACATAAATCAACAACAATGACAACTAAAATACCAAACGTTGCCCTAAGAAAAAACAATAAAATAAGGAAGGAAAACATTTATTCCAAAATATTTCTTAGTTTAAATGAGAGGCAAACAGTGTAAGGTGCAAAAAAGGAAGATATCGTAGCAGCAACATCTCGATCAGTGCAACGGTCTCATAAACAGTGTGGCGCAGTATAGCGGCCGGTGTGTTTCGAACAAAAACACCACACGCTTTTCCCAAAGTAATTGAAAATGCCCCAACACTCGCTTCATCCATTTCACTTTACCTCTTTATCCTCTTCTATCTCTATTCCCTCCCTTAGTTCGGGGGCTCGCGTCGCTCTTTGCTCTTGCGTCCCTTGGACTTGGAGTGAAAGATGCTGTGGCGCAGATAAGACTCCTGAGCAAGAAAGTCCAAGAAGGGGGTTATCACATACACACTTACAACCACCGCTTGTTTTATATCTCCGATACGGGGGAGAGAGACAAGACACGCGAGAAACGCCTTTGACCTGCGGGAAAGGTTAACCCATTACACACATACAGTGTGTACTGCGAAAAAAGACGATCCTATCTGAGGATTCTACTGGGCGGGCCGACACTGTATAAGGGGCAACCTTCTTGTACCTTCGCGCGTGCTTCGAAATTGGAGGCAACTGAGCCGATCCTATTAAAAAAAAACTTTGGAGGAGGGGTAATAAAAAAAGAAACACACAACTGTAACCGAACTCTTCGCGCCAGATATCCGTTTGCCTCGGAGGTCCCGCATCATTAGATGCGTCTGTGAATTATTCGTCTGAGTAATATAATGTGTATGTATACGTATTGTTCTCGAAAGGAACTATAAAATTTTGGCATGCGCGCATGTGTGGCGCGATTTATAGCAGGAAAAATCAAGGAAAAACATAGCTTTTAGGAGAATCTTTTGTGTTTTATTTCTCCTTCATTCCCGTAGAGACATTTTTGGGGAAGAGCTTGCTGATGGGAATCTCAGAATGACTGAGGATTAAGGTTACCACACTCATAGAGGATCCCTATCGCCTTAAATTTGTTGCCCACGAGGTGGAATTGGACGCTACCGTGCATTGTTCAGATTTTTTCCGATGATTAGTAGACGCTTATATTGTTTCCTCGTTAGCATAATTTACCTTCATTACTATTTATCGCGCCACTCTTTTTTAGTAACAAAGTTATAAATACTCTTGTCTGATTGTATATTTTAGTAGCCTGTAGCAAAATTTAAGTTATGAATCAGAATATCTATATCAGCTTCAAGTACCCATTTACTGTAACTTATCTGTACTGTTTTTCGTTTCGATGTTTTAATATGCTTCCGACATTTTTCAACTGACGCTTTTCACTCGATAACAATATTATTCAATAAATACATAGCACGATGATAAATTTAAACTGAAATATACCTCAATGTATATTAACATGAATGCAGTTACACAGAGGTGATATTGCAACGTCCTGAATATTATTGAGTCTTATTTTCCGCCAAGAATATATAATATACGTGTTACTCATACTCTTGTGATTTCAATCTACAATTCAAAACATTTCGCTGCTGTGCATTTTTTATTATCAACGCATAGTCTTATTCTTAATTTTTATTACATGAAATCGTAGCTCTTCAAATATTAATGGGGCTTCAGCTACGTTAATTGATTTATCGAATGGTACAAAATCATTGTCTGTAACCAAATTACTAGTATAATATATGAATGTCATAATAGAATGTATTAGAGATAAAAGTGATAGTATTCATTTTTGATTTTCAGTCATGGATTGTAATAGTAAAGAAACTTTCAATTAAATATTCTTGATCCAACTTATTCAATAAAATTTGAATGCGTAAAGTGGATAACCAGAGCTTTAAAGTACAGTTATATATGCACGTATACTCACTCCATTGTCTCATTCATGATTGATAATCATTATATGTAAGAACTTTCGAATTTCTAAACAGGCATTATATTAACAAGTTGGTAGTAAATATTATTTGATAAATATCCAGCTTTCCGATCAGAATGAATGACCTTTTTGTATTTTGTGGCCGTAAGCCTCTGCAGCCTCTTGAGTTCTCACACATTTATTAAAATAGTTGGGTGAATGTTGCTTATCGTACCCCGCCCGTAAAGTCGAATTAATTTTATATTCGCAGCGTCACGCGGAGTACGAGTCTGTGTTGGGGTCTTCCCATCCACACGCAGTGGAAAAACTGCTGCTGCTCTAGCTTCTTCGCATTATGAGTCTCCGTTTTTCTGTTGTTACAGCCACTTGTCCAGCCATGCATTTTACATAGTTGTAACTCTTTGGAAGGATCGGTTCTTAATCTTTACTTTTTCTGAAGAGGATTTTTTTCGTGCAAAGACTCATTAACTCGCAAAATAAAGTTATTTGTTATTAAAGTTATTATTTAGAAAATATCATATTTAAGAACAAAGTAATATAGCCATGATGTTGCCATAACTTTACGGTGGAAAAATATGTTTTTGTGTAATTAGCTATCTTTCATTAGTCGACGTAATTTCTGCTTGCCGAGAGAAAGTTTTGCGCGCTCGCGACACCTTGTAAAAAAAAGAAAAAAAGCGTCGCGTATACAAGAAATTGTTGTAAAGAAACTAAAAGCCAAGCATAAAACTCGTCACTCGAAACTTCATCCCGCTGGTAAAAGAGTAAGCGCCCTGAACCATCCTCGTCTATTCCACCTATATTCCGTTAATTGTCCCTAGCTGTTGCTCGACTTACGTTTAATTAAAGCCTTCTAATAATGAGGAATGGCGTGATTGTTACACACGTTCCCTTCGGTGGTACTACCGAAATTGAACTTGGCCGTTGGGCCTGACTAAATATAATAGAGAGAGAAAAAATGAACCTCAGCTTTATTATGCAGGCAAAGAGAGAGGGACGGCCCAGCCTATATCTTTGTGACTCATCTAAGTCGTGCCGAAACGCGCGTAATAGCGTTCGCGCGATAGCCGCAACGATCGATGCACGTAGATAGCACGCAAATGAGATCCTCTCTCCGACTATCGGGCGTACATCATTAACCAAGACAGTTGCCAAGCGTGGGTGTGTGTACGTAAATGCTGTAGCAATTTTAACCCGACCATTTTTCGTCGAAGCCTCCGCGAACAGAGAGGAGGGAGCCCGTGCACCTTGTAAATAACCGCTCGTCTTTTATCACGCAACTATAAACGGTTAAACGAGCGCCAAACTCGCTTGTGGATGGAGGAGGAAAAGAAAAAAAGAATAACAGCAAGCGCGTTCAACCTTTATCGCCCCCCTATACCTTTGCGGATATGAAGGCATATTTTCTCATTTTTACGGTTATTTGCTTACCTGATTATTTTGGCCTATAATTTTAACCGAAATCAATTTTCTCGCTCGAGTATATATCGCTCTTCGATGCTCTCTAACGTATTATAAATTATATACGATTAATTACTGCAATCTTGACAAAACTGTTCATTTCGATGTAATTGAAATACTATCTTATCTTGATTTTCGTCGTTCGCACCTTAACGCACGTGTATATCATTAATCCACGCTCATTTAGTTTCAATATTGTAATACAACATCGCCTCGAAAAAACCAGATCAATCTCAATTGCGTTCGCAGCCAGATAAAAAAGTGAAACCTGTCACTGTGGTACGCTCATTTAAAAGATGTTCAACTTTCTTAAAAAGCCTGACGGAAGGAAACCAGTTTTCTCGTTAGGATTCCCATGAACATTCGTCAATGATAAAAATCTGTGACAAGCAGCAACATAGATCGAGGTGATCGGGACATAGAGTTAAAGAGTTGACTAATCCATATCAAAACTAAATCTGCCCACGCGTGTTCTCTCAACCTAGAAATAAGCGCTGTATAAATAAAAGAATGTAAGAGAGGACAGCCAAAAAAAAGAAGGGAGGGGAAATCTACGAAGGCTGGCCCACGGCTTAACTGTCATTCGAGATGGAATTAAGATGTTGGTTGGCCGGTGATTTACGCGATGTACAAGCCTTTAATTGGCATCTACGACACGCACGTTCCCCGCTCGCACGTGAGACATTGGGAACGATGCGAGTTCGCGCATGAGATCCTTATCTATTGCGCGAAATTACATATAATGCAAACGCCGTTTTTACCAGTCTATATAGCTCTTACGTCGTTTAAGTATTCGCTTGCACCTCCCTCCCTCTCATACTTTCATCGCTTAAATGATTTCGAGTTCTACTATATACAGCTGTACATTTTCTGGTGCGACATCGTGGATTTTCTACTAATTTAAGGTCCTCTCTCGCTTGCAAGGATATCGTGATAAATTGTTAAAAAATTTCATAATGATTACGGAAATTCTAACTAGATTTACTTAAAAACAATGAAATGCCGTTTTTCCAATTAACCTAGTTTGCGTGTGTTTTGTTGGCTTTGGTGAGACCAAAGTTAAATAGAGTGCTGTTGAAAAGTTGTTTAATCTTTTAATTTTTTTCCTCAATCTAGAACGACGAGTTTACTTGGTAATGTCCTAAACTAACACAATTCGTTTTGTGTAATTTCATTTCAGTCAGATAGACGTTTGGTTTTTGTGATTAACTTAAATTGAGCTTATTATTCAGGGATGATACCGATCATATTATTATAGATTATACTGTAAAAATTTTCATTTTGTTGAAAATGATCTTTCTTGTCGTTATAAATATATTATGATCACTGCAATTGACTAATTAATTTTCTATGTAAAGATAAAATACTTATAAAACTTCTTATTGTTTCCAGATATTCCTGACCGGGATCGTTGCAGGTGATAATAGCACATTTGAAAGTAGTTTAGAAGCTGTCCAATCTGCCAGCAGTTATGAAACTGATACGGCCAATCAGGTAACAATTTAGTTACTCGTAAATATTCAACTTCAAGTCAGAAAAAAACTATTTCTTCGTTCAACGTCAGACGGGCTATTTATAAAAGATCGGTGAACCTGATAAAAATGTTCTCATTCCAAAGCTGAACGAATTGATTTCTGTATTTTCAATTCATCGCTTGGAGCTATTTTCTAGAATTTTGCTGGATAAATTCATAAAAAAAATGGCTTTAAAAAGAATTTGTTGTTTGCATTTACGTAGATAATTCAATAAAGAATATCGACACGCTCAAAAGATTACAAAAAAATTGAATGTTCAACTAAAAGCTTTCATTTTTAATTTCTCTCAAACCTGATATTTTTGAAAATATCCGAAAAGATATTAGCCATACACGGATCTCACCATTATATGCATGTAAGATATAAAGCAGACAAAAAATGTTGATGAACATTCAGCAGTCATTGAATACTGAATCGAAACTACACGTTTGAATGATTTGTTCTCGGAGACCTTTGCTCCAGTGTCGCGGTTCCAGATGCTCACGCAAGCATATGCACCCTCTGAATGTTAAGAAGGTGCTTATGACTCGATTCAGTGGCCATGACACACAAAGCTTGAGCTTGAATCCTGAAGTGTGAGCTTCTAAGCTTCGTGCTTGCAAAGAAAGGAAAGTGTCAACCAGTAATATATGCCGTTTGTGATTGTACGTTTTCTTATAGTAATGCAAGCTTGTTTTACACTCGAGCTTTCCTTTCGTCACTGCGAGATGTTTGGTGAACCATGTATTTATTATCTACTTTATCTTGTGAGTTCGTATACTTAAAATTATAATTGAATGTTTTTTAAAGACCTTTGAAACTCGCCAGAGAGCAAGCGCATTATTTACAATTAAAATTATAATTTGGCCAAACCAATAAATTTTTCAAAATCGTGATTACAGTAGGGACAATGAGCTTTTGTCAAAAAGCATGAAAATTACGCGTGCGAAGTTTATCCTTTGAAAAATTAATAAACGGATTTCCAAGCGTTTTTTGTTTCCGTCTTCGACCATTTATCACAGGGTTGGTGGCGGCGGCGGTATTTTCACTTCTTTTTTCGTTTACCCTTGTACTCGTAGCGAGTAGCAGTGCACTCCATCCTCGACATTCTGCCGCGTGCATGAGCACGCGTGCTTGTCTCCCACTCTCGTATTCTCTTTGTCTCATCCTCGTGCACACTTAGCCTTGCACCCTCTCTCGTCGTTGCACTTGCACATACAAGCGCCAGAGTGCCAAGGTTCCCATTCTGCTTGCAGCTAAGAGGCGAGTCCGCGGAAGAATGAGTCAGGAAGGAGGCTTCACAATGTCAACGCTTCTATACGTTCTTCGACTTCCAACTTTTTTATATTACTTTTTTGGTTTATGAAGATAGTACAAGTTTTAATAGTTAATTCAGAATCGTCGCTGAAAAATTTTCTTTTCTCTTGAAAAAACGTAAAATAATATTTTGGTATATGATCTTAAAAACGTGTATTTTCACATATTTCTAAAATACTGACACTCTAAACCTTAACAGATAAGACAAAATAATGTCGACTCATGGAATCTTTGTCAGAAGCTTTATTAGATGAACGACAAAATGTAGCTCTTGGAACAGTATCATACGGTAGGTTTACTCATCCGTGGACTCACGTACGAGATTATCCGTAGCGCTCGTGTCGTTAGAATGAGCGTCGGTATTGTTCTTTTGTGCCGGGACAGCAAGTTGTTGAAAGCCCAAGCCTTTGGTTAAGGCGAAAATCGTTGACTAAGCTCCTCCTTCTCAATACGCGCGATGCTCGTGAACGATGGATTGGGGGGGGGGGGGGGGGGGAGCCGAAGACACGCGGGAATTCAGGGCTTTCTTTATTAAGTGATATCTTGTTGTGAACGACAGAGATCAATTTGGTTTAGCTTTAATAAGGGAAAATTTTTATGAGTAAAATAATATATGGCCAGAAGATTATTATAAATGTCACTGAGTAAACTCATTCTTTTTAAATGCATGTAAAGTATGAGAAAGTAGATGATAAATTTATTAATTTTTGTCCTACAAAAAATAAATTGCATTTCAAGTGCATTAATCTATTAGTTAATTTATATTATTTTCATATTACTTTTCTAATGCACGGGTTAATTTGAGGAAGAATATTCAAAAGAATAACTTTCTATACATAGTAAGGTCTTTTCCTATATTTCTCTTTCCGAAATTTATAAAATTCATTTTAATAAGTCATTACACGTTACTTATAGGTAGTCGCGTCGATCCATTTTGTTTCGAGCATAAACTGCTGAAGGACGTGACGCGCGTATAACTTTTATTAGCTAATTCTATCAAATAAGACGAGGTGTAGATGACGAGGCAACAACCCACACGCGCGTGGGCTTCAATTTTGCTGAAGGGTCTCGGCGACAGAGTAGCAATTCCCATTAGAACTATTATGATAGTCTTTATAAAAAGCTAACTTTGGGCACTACAGTTCATTTCAACGATAGAATCGCAATATGTCTCAAATGTGATCCACATTTCTGATGATGTATATTTTGAATTTCATATTGTTCGTAACAATATGTTAAAGGTCAAATGTATTTTCTTTCGAACCTATCTTGTTTCTGAACTGGTGAATCGACGTATTGTCGATTTTAATTGTAGCCTAAAACTATTGAGAATGTTAAAACCAAATCCATGTAAAAAGTCACGTGTTTTATAAACGATTTTTATTTTCGTCATCAAGTAAAGAATATTACAAAAAACTTGATGGATATTCGATCTGATAAAATACACTCTAGCAAGATCATTTGAATATTAATTTTCTTTCATTCCAATAAACAGAAAAGATCGGTATTTTTAACCCTTCGGTAAAATCTGTCCAAACTCTCAAATAATCTTACAAAGCTACATGGCAGAATATAGGTGACTTTTCAAGGAATTTCGAAATACAAGCTTGATTGCGAAATATTATACGACACCTTGTCATCGTCTCACAGCGTTAAACAAATGATATATACGTATAGATGGTGGCACGTGAGCTGGCAAACATCGCTAAAGACGAGGGAAGCCGGCGCACGTTCGTTAATAATTCATGAGTTGTTGATTCCAGGTACATACAGGCTTACACTCCGTTTGTTAAGTTTTATATGTAGGAAAATTGAACGAAAATTCTCTTTGCAAATTGTTAAATCACTTATCAAGAGTTTGACTAAAAAGATATTAAAATAGTATGAATATAAATTTACTTATGATCAGTTGACAGTATTACAGTTTACTGTTTTACATCAAAACCATTCAACTATTTCATATCTTATGAAATACAGAGCTATACAGTAATGTACATTTTTTAATTTTATATGTAAGCACGCGCGAACAGAATATCACACGAGATTTTCACTATTATTGATATTTTTGAGTATCCATATTTCTTTGAGAAATTTTTATAAATAAATTCCAGGTGAGGGTATAAGGAAAGATGGTAGCATTAATTTTTAGTAATGAGACATTCAAAAGTAAGGATAGTTACTAGTAATTATTGACGGTGCAGTTAATGATAATTTTGAATGAAGAGAAGAAAAATGGGTAGCTTGCAGTGGTTTACTTGCAATCAGGGTATGATGAGAATACGACTGGAAATGAATAAACTACATCGATATTGTTGTTCTATTGAGAGTCGCACTTGAACGTCCTAACAGTTATTTTTATTACCTCTTGTACTGGATTGTCCAAGTGCTAACTTTTCAATAAAAGTTTTGATACCCTGCAAAGTAAGAAGGAATTAAAGGCTGTAGTAGCTATCCCATGAATGCAACGAGCAAATAAAAAAAGAGAGAGCAGTAACTGGCAAAACGGAAAGAAGGGGAGCGAGAACACGGAAAAGGGTGTAACGTTGCAGGAGAGGCGTGAAAACGGTTGTCTTGCAAAACTTTAGCAATTTTGAGGTAAAGGGTCTAGGATTGTGTACAGCTTTAGGGGAGGCGCGAGAATTCTGATTGACGTGTAATAATCCCTCATGCCACTCATGACGATTTCTACAGGGGAGGGGCGAGCTCGTTCAGTCAAATCAAGCACATTGATTCAAACCCAAGCACGTATCTAGAGCCTAATCGTGACGTTGGCTCTATAGAAACCTCTGTAGATTTGCAGTTAAATCACAATTTTTCGCGTGCAAGTCGACGGGCTTGTACATCTGCCCAGATAACTACAGCTTCTATTGCAAAATTAAATTCAACAGCAGTATTTTTCGCTGCATTAGAATTAAATCATTTTCATCTCTCCGAAAAAAAATTAGGCAACAAGAGCAAAACAATCTTTTTAATGTTTCCTCGGTGTATCACGACTTGACCGTTCCTCTTTTCCACGAGAGCTTCCAATTGAATGGCTTAATACTATCGTAATTCCAGCACTTTTTCTGTCCTATAACGTGAAAATACACAACGAGAGCGAGAGGCACGTCCCTTCACCTTGGTTCTTTTCGTCCACGTTTTAACGGGCTAAGTTTGTCGCACGATTGCTTTTGCGTCGTGTTTCGCGGTTCATTGCCGATGGAGGAATCTCATGGCGCAACTTTGTAACTACGAGACTCCCATGCGCGAGCAAACGATTGTATAAAAAGTCGGCAACATTGAGAACATTCGACGTAACTATAATACGGAGTATTAAATTCGCGCGTGACCGATCTACTACTTACATATTACGTTGAACGCTCGTGGATTATCTCTTATTATAATATTTATTCTACGTTTGCTGTTGTTTTGCTAAATGAACCGATCCAAACAACATTAAATATTCTATAGTCCTCTTTATACACTATCTGCAAGATGATATTTTCTGAAATAAGTACAAAGTTCACATTGAGCCTCAGGGGCTGTGCCACTTTCCCAGTACATTCTCTCGAACCATTTGGTGGAGTCTACTTTTTTTGCCCAAGCCCACATACGCCTTAGCATCAGGCATCCTTGTCGGTGCTCGAAATGGAAAGTCGATACTCGCCGCAGACAGATCTAAAA